TAACAGATGAGTCCTTAATATCACGAAGAAAGACCAGGGGTGAGAGGGTTCAAATGAGGGTGAAAAAGGGGGCAATGTTTAAGGAACTAGTAAATATTTTTTTACTGCTCTGCCGGCTTTTGGCTGTGATCAGAAAATACAGTCATCATTTTCTAATTCTATCATATAACTATTTGTCTAATAAACCAAAAACAGACTCCCGCTTCATCCCCAATCTACATTTGGGGGGTTGGGGGTGGGGGTTAGGGGAAGATGGGGTATCACCCAAACAATTGACTGAGGGTGAGCGTGTTTTTTAAATACTTTTAATTAATGGGAGGTTCAAATCTCTGCGTATAAATTGGAGACAGTTAAGTCATGATATGTTCTTTCAAACTTCATACATGCAAAGTAAGAATAACTGTACTGTCATTTACAAATAATCTCCCACATAAAGCGCTCATGAAAAATATAGTGAACAGCAATTCTTTCCTCAAATGCAGCTCAAATCTCCTTTGCATCAACACAGTCACAATGGTTATTTGCAAAGATAAGGCCCTTTGCATGGCACAGTACCATATTCCATGTTGCACTGCCTCACTCTGAAAGGTATCCTGGTAGTTTCTCTCTTACTACTCTCTATAGAGCCTGCATTTGGAAAACAAAGGAGGGCCCTCTTGAGGGTTATATGGCTGCTACGTCGGCCGTCCCAGAAACGAGCGGGATATTCGACTCTCTGTAGGAGCGATCAAATCAAAGGGGGCAGGACAAAGTGGGGAGAATTGGGATGCAGCCTTAATATCTTCTACTCTGCCTCTTACACAGCTAGGTTTTGGTTCAGTCTACATTTAGGGCAGAAATGTATTAGTGTTGATTATTACCCCAATTTCTATCAATGCAAAACACTGCATACAGAACAGTAGATACACACATCAGGACATAGAATACCAGCGATATATCCTTTGTGAGTTACAGTTTATATTGTCTTCAACCTGGAGAACTTTTTTATCACAGGAAACAACTATCAAGTAAAAACTCAAAAACTGAATGACAACAAAAGTAGGTAAAACGCTTTGTTAAACATAGATGGGTGAACTCAAGTAGAAGAGGACAGGTGGAACATGTAGAGTTAGGATAACAGATTTAAAACACAGGCGTAAACTGCGGTGTGTTAAAGGCTAGAATCATATTTATTTATAAAAGATAAAAGAAGAAAACATCTACATACCAAACAGCCAGTGGCAGCAGCGAGAAAATCTGTAGTACCTCTCCACCTCTTCCAGAGAGATCCTAACGTGACCTCCACTCTTATTTACCGGCCACAAACACACGTCCAACTCGCCCTCCGTTTTTTCATCTTTAACCTCTTCAGTTTGATTATCCACCTCTTCTTTTTGCTCCGCTTCAGTCTCCTCATCCTCTACCGACCCTACCTCTTCAGTTTGACTCCCTCCTCGACTCACTCTTTCCTCTATTCGCTCGTCAAATTTAGAATCTGGATTTCCTGCCATCACAAACCAGTCACACTCCTCTCTATCCGTGCCTACAATCCCCTCTCCTGAGTCCACCTCCAAGCAAAACCCAGAGTCCAACTCCACATCCTCCTCCACCGAGAAGCCTGAATCCTCCATCTCCTCTCCTCCCATCCTTCTTTGCCAGTCTACGTCTTCTTTGCTCCTTCTCTTAAGCAACTCTTCTTCCATGCAGCCAAGCTAAAAAAAATAAATAATAAAAAGGTATCACGGTAAAAGTCTCCCTCTCATTCTGGTTCCACCTTCCACCAGACCTCTACATCCAGCAGCCTCTCACTCCCCGTCAGGCTGCAGGTGCATCACAGCCTGCGGGACGTCACTCAGTAACTGTGGGGGACTTCCTATTACGACCTCAGGTTACTTTCCCTGTAGACAAAAGCTTCAGTGTAGCACCCTCCCTGCTCACCCAGGTACCCTTAACCACTCCCTCCTGAAAGGACAACTACCTGTCCTAACCCCTCCCTCCTGAATAGCCTCCAAGTTGAATCCCTGACCTCTGAAACAGATCCAGTTGTGACTCTGTACTAGTTAAAAAAAAACAAAGAAGTAAAGTTGTGTCATATGTTGTGTCAGAGCGGTTAGCTTGTACCTGCAGCTCCCAGCACCTAATTTACCTATAGGCTATCACATCCCTGACTTGTCCTTTGCCTTATCTCAGGAGATGTGGAACCAAAAGTACAAAGCCTTCATTCTGACCAGCCCATTCAAACGACGGCCTGCATCTCCATTTAACCGACCACAGACTGTATCTATTCAAAGCCCTCTTCTCTTGTTTACAGCACTCAAAAGAGCCCATTCTTACAAAGCCACTGAAAGACTTACGTCTATAATGAGAGCTCTCACAGAAAGCCACTGTGTCTTAAATGAACGTGGTCATTTAGATTCAATTTCAATGCGTCGTAATAAAGATACGCTTCAGTCAAAATGAGCCAACTGACACCATTCTGACTCCTTACTTAGCCATCAGTCTGCTTAATGGTTTGTGCAGTAGGTTATATGTGTTAGTTTGCATGTGTACACGTGGTGTGCTTGTTGTTTGGGGGGGAGGAGGGGGGGGGGGTTGCTCGATGATGCTCCACGGTCCATGCACAAAGGTTATCAGTGCCATAAACCTTGAGAGATAAACACAAGGGCCATTAGGTTGGAAAAGTGCACAGTTCAAAGTGAAAACGGGGTCAAACAAAACGAATGACTGCAGACCAACTCCAGTATAAGTCCCATTTGGAGACACTTAGGTTCATAGAGCGTAAACCCAGTGAGCAAGTACCAATACTGAAAGCCACTACTGTGTGAGATGTATTTGTCCTCAAACTCAGAATGCATATACAATCATTTTAGAAAGAAAAACAGAAGACATACTTAATTCATCCCAAAGGGGAAATACAAAATGTTCACTCATTTTAATGTCACTTTAATTTCATTAAAATGAGTAATCAAACATGCTGTACATGCACACACACAGGCCAGAAGTAATACTGCAAGCAGGTGTTTAGCTGTGTTAAATAAATTGTACTCAGTTTTGACTGTTCTCTTAACTTTAGATTTATGTAATCTTGATTAAATTCATTTATATTGACAGGGAAATTAGATGAACATCCATAAATGCCACCCATAATGTGTGTTTTTTATGGAAAAGTCATTGTGTGGCTACAAAAAAAAGGAAATAAATTACCTTAAGTGATGTCACTTGAGTCAGCTTTGTTTGTGATATTAGACTACAAGTTTGAAATGTATAGAAGGTTTAGAAAGGAGTTAGAAAACCAGACCATCTTAAATCTTTAGCGAACTCCCTAATCGTCAGCTAGCAGCTAGTGGTTAATTGAGCTGCTATTAACATAACAGACCAAAACCACTAAATGAGATATCAGTGCTTATTAATCGGATTTTAAAAGACAAGATCTGTGATTAACTGCAGTATTTTAATCAATTTGAGTCTAACGATATTGCCATTACCAACTTTAACATCAACCGAGTTGTCAACTGGATCCCTCACTGGCTTCCAAGACACTATCAATGATGTTGTGGTAAGTCACAATAAGTTCCCAAAACAAGACAGTTGTTATCTATAATGTGAGGCTCAACTTTTGTCATTTGCATTCTGCAGAAATTAAAGTCTTTGTATGTTCTCAATTTAACCAGGAAATCTCAAGTTGATCAACTCTAGAAACAACCTCTGACTTATGCTCTCAGGCGTCCTTAACCTTTTTTTTTTTAATGATCTATGATTTGTGAATGCAAGCAAGCACAGGACTATTCTGAATAGACTATCAAATATCTCTCCTGTGCCTGACTTTTATAAGGATTCAGAGCTGTTTAGCTGCAGTCTGTTAAAGCAAACAACTGCTACATCAACAACATAGTTCTTCTTGAATGAATTCACCGTCTGGCTAAAGACTTTAACAGAGCTGGAAGGAAAACTTTCCATGAAAGCTCGCAGCAGGAGGTACAGAAAAACACTAAGCAGACAACAAGAGCATACAGGTACGGTATGCAGAATCAATGCATCTGAACATACAGTATACTACACATGTATAAAGACACACAAGTACAAGCCATAGGTGCTAGGCACAGCAATATCTTTGCTCCTGCGGTGGCATTCATGCAGGGACAGAGCGTCCATAAATATCAAGAGGACGACCTTGGTGAGAGACGAGGCTGCCTCATAAAGACAAGGGTCACATTGAAGACTAAAGCATACACATGTTTTATAGGAAATGCACAATTTTCACATATTGTGTGTTAGTAATGTGTTTACACAAACAAATATGTGCACAAGTTGCTTTCTTCTAAGCATTTCAAAACACACAAGTAGCCTCATGATACATAGAGACACAAAAATCCCATCCATACATCTCCTGACTCACGTTGTTTTAGTGGAACCATGGGCATACCACCGTCCCATTGAGAAGAACTCCTCCTCCTGGTTTTCCTCACCATCCTTTCCCCCCCCTCTGCCTGATAGTAACACCTGGGAAAGTCCTTCTTCTATGCAGACTCCAAGGTCTCAGAGTGTCAACAATCACGCTCCAACTTGAAAACTCAGCAGCTGTAATCAGCACTTCCTGCTCCTCTGAACAGACTGCTAAGATGCCGTGTGCTGCAGTTTCGAGATTCACTGAAGAATCTCTTACTGCTGCAGGAAAAAAAGAAAAAAAAAATCTGTGCAGCTGCAGAGATTTATGTGTTGGAAAACTGAAGCGGCTGTTTAAGCTACTCAGGCACGAACTGACACACACACAGAGATACACTCACATAGACACAAACTGTTAAGACACATAAAGACAGAGAAACTGCTCAGTGGGGAGTGATCCGAGGCTCGGAGGAAACTTTGTGCGGCTCTGGGCATGATGCCCTTGCAGAACTCTGGCCAAAGCTTCAATCAGGAATCTATTACACACAAACTCTCAGAGGTATGTAGTTTTATGAACACTGCAAAGTTGTATACATGCACGCTCTCTCCTAATTATTATTATTTTTTTTAGGTCTTACCATCCCAGTCTCTCCAGGAGCTCCTGCGGCTCGATGGGTTGGAGGGGTAAGGCGACCCTTGTCCAGAGATGTCCAAGTTCTGCATCAGATGACTGAGCCGGTTCATGATCCGGCACGATGCCTCCCCACCCTCCCGCAGAAACTCATGCAGCGACATGAGAGCAGGCTGCTGGTCTCACACACACACTCAAACAAACTCTGTCATCCAGAAAAGACCCCCTCCCTCCCTCCCTCCCTGCACCTGCAAAGCTCCGCTGCACACTCTAATAGACTCCAAGATGCAGACCCCAAATGCAGGCATGGGAATGTGCCAGGGACGCACAGAATCAAGCTTCTTCACATGAAGAAAGTCTGCTTGGCTACGAACAAGTCCAGCTGGGCGTCCTCTCCTCTCCTCTGCAGAAACAAATCGGGGATTGGGGGGGACTCGATGAAACAGCTCTGGTGCAAAGCAGGCAGAAGCAAAAAAAAGAGCTGAGTCACAGTCTGCACAACCTCGGTGACAAAAAAGTGTTCACGCTGGAGGTGAGAAAGGGTCCGGCTCTGCTCTGCACAAACACACTCACACTGATGCTCATGCAGACCTCGTCGCGAGTGCAACTATTGACAGCTCAGAAAGGGCGAAAGAAGGGAAGGGTGAAGGGGGGGTGGAAGCAGAGGGCAGCCGGTGGAGCACAAATCCCCTTCTGCTGCTCGGGCTAATTATATTCCTTCACTCCTTAACTAATCTGCCTTTTCTTTCCTCTTCTTTTCCACCTCCCAAGATTCTCTCATGCATTAATTATCTGATGAATTGGGAAAGAATGCACGGAGCATTAACCTGCAAAAAACTTACAACCTGCTACTCTTAAACTTTATGGTGGCTATATTACAACTTGGGGTGGGGGTTTGCTCAATATGTGGCTAACTGGAGTAGAAGAGCAAATACAGAAGGTGCTTTTTAATGGGAGAGAGAAGGAGGTTGATGGAAGAGCTTTAAAGTGTGTGTTAATGTGTGTGTGTTTGGCGGTGTTTGTGCAGTTAAAGCTGGCAAGCAAAAGGCAGCTTTTAGTTTATAGGCTTAGAATAGAGATGAGAGAGGAGCTGCACTCTCACACATACTGATGAGGACACTGCAGGAGAACGAGAAACACACATCAGCCATATACTAACATGCCTCCATGTCAAACCCTCTCTTCTTCTGCTATCTAGTTAATCAGGTCTGATCCCTCCTTTATGGCATCGCCGACCCCCCGTGACCTCCCACTTTATTACAGCCCTGCATCACAGTTTTTCTACCAAAGTGACTTCTGGGTACATGTACAGACACACACATATAAATACACCAGCACAAAAAGCTCAAATGACCTGACTGTCCTTTCATTCTAAGCTAGGTGTTAAAGTCTACCCAGGGAGCCAGACAGTTCTACAAGATCTCCAGTACCTCTCCTGTTCAAATGCATTTAGATCCAACCTGATCCAGGTCAGGTCAATGTGGAGCATTTGATCAAATGTTTTGTCAAGCGGCTACCTCAGGTGTTGGAAAAATAAAGCCAATGCAATTTGAGACTGGCTGCAAAAAACCAAGAAATCCACATTATAGCCCATATAGCCCTTTTTTTTCTCTCATGGTCCACAGCACAGCTCCTACATTGCACCTTTTGTACAATTTGTGTTTTTTACATCTTACATTTTTAAATTCTGTTTTATATATTGTAATAGCTTCTTATACTGTATTATTTAGGTTGTTGCTAGTTCTGCGTCATTTCCTTGTTAAATGTTTAGCACCAATACACCAAGTCAAATTCTTTGTATGTGTAAACTTGGCAATAAAACTTGATTCTGATTCTGATATTAAATGTTCATTTTTTACAGCAGAAATAAACATGTTAACCGTCTGGTTCAAAAATGGTTTTGACCACTATGGCTCATTTCTTTGTCGGTAAAAAACTGTGCAAGAACAATCTTTTTATAACTTATCCGTGATGCTTTGACGCCAAGGAGTTATGCATACAATTGCATAAATGGATGTGGCTGAGTTGACTGACAGGTGTAGATGTTTACTTGGATGCTAAGGCCTGCCTCAGTCATACCTCTTTGTGTGTTACTAGACTGATCCAAAGTTAGGTGGAAGTATTGTTTTCAATATGGCGACCCTCATTGTTTGGGCTTCAAAACGTCTCCTCAGAAACTAATGGGTGACATCACTGATACTATGCCATGTTTTATACAGTCTAAGCTTGATGTACAGCACAGTGCTGTCAATGTGCTTTGGCAAACAGACAAGAGACAAAGTAACAAACAACTTGGACAGCTGTTCATGTTCAATACAAATGCTAAATGTGGGCTGCTACATCATGCAATCCCAAACTTATTGTCATTTTGTTGACCAGACGCTTATTTGAAATTGATGTTGGAACTAGCTACCTAGCTTAGCTTCCTACCGATAAATCACTGGTTCGTCTTTCTCATTGGTTGTGGCTTCCAGAAGCATTTTGACCTGCACTGGTTAATTTGGAAATGGAAAATGAAGTGAGAGGTTTCATAAGTTTTAATGATGCCATACTAGTTTAAATAAAGAACATCAAGGCTCAAATCGTTACTAAAGTTAAACTAGTGATATAGTTAGGGCGCTGGGAGCTTAACACCAACATGATCATAATGGCAACTAGCTTGTGTAGTGTCCCACATGCCAATTATTGTATTTCCATGTTAGTATGCTAACATTTGCTGATATAAAGTGAAGGAACATTCAGAAAAGAGTGACCAAAATGTCTTCATTTTGCAGACATGTGGCCACGAAACAACATTTCAACCCTATGATGATGCAGCACTTTCTCCAACAAGCAAACAGGCCGAATGAAAAGCATCTGAATGATTAAGGTGATAAGAACTCAGAGCAGAAGAGAAATGAAAAAGATATGATGAATTCAAAACCTACTGAGGACACTTTAAAGAAGAGCATTTTGACAAGATAAAATGCAATCAAACAAACTGAACATGCGTAGTTATTAAAAGCACCCCGCCTCGTTCTGGTAACGTGTGTCTTCTGACCACTTCTACAGACGCACAGCGACCTGTTTTCTCCATCTGGCTCTACACCTGCCTCACCTTTAGGAAAATAACCCCGAGGCAAGTTGAACAAACCCCGGAGCTCGAGCTAAAAAAGGAACATGACACTCACTGTTATGTCCACAACAGTGTCTGATGTATCTGATTTATGAGAAAGCTTCCTTGATGTGACTTCTGTACCAAATGATGCAGCAGAGGAAAGACTGATCCATAACAAATCACTTTGATTAAACAGCCACTCTGAAGTCATGAGACAGCTGGACTGCTTAGAGCTCAGACTCTCGTAAACCTTAGCTCCTTGTCTGGATCAGAAGCAAAAAAAAACATTGCAAGATAGTCTCTCTCTCTCACACAAACTCACAGAGAGATGTATTAAACATATAACCAAACTTATACACAGGAAAGCCTCAACAACATGTAAAATATGTCACTGCTGTTATTGCCAAACAAACAGCTTGAAGCGTCCTGAGCTGCAGATGAACACACTCCTGCTGTAAAGCTGAGACCTGTGACTCGCTGAACTGGATGTGTCCCTTTAAATCAACTTGAAGTAGGTCAAACGCCCAGTTAGAGACTGGATGAGAGGCTGCCAATGATACTGGCCGCAAGTGACAATTACTTTCATTATATAATTATCTGCTTTGTTTACTGGTAACTGGAGATTAAATTGTGTTATGTAATTTTGTAGCCGGTGCTCTTTTTTCTTCAGCGGTTATATTGCATTGTCCACTACTTTAGTCGAGCAGACTGAAATATCTCTGACACTTTTTTTTCCATTAACCATGACATCTAGTACACATCATGATGATTCTAACAGGGTGAAGGCTACTGAAGTTGGTGTTTGGATTTTTTCTAATGCTACCAGTTGAACAAAGATTTTACATATCCAGGAAAAATATTTCTACTGGACGTATGAGCATAAAAGTTTCTACACAAACTCTCAGTTCCTACGACAGGATTAGGGCCACGTTAATTTAATTTTTAATTTTTTTAATTTCAAGATTAAAGTTGTAAATTTACAAGAATAAAATCGTAAATTTACGACTTTAATCTCGAAATTTAAATAGAATTTAAAAAAATTTAACGTGGCCGTAATCCTCCGTCGTACAGTTCCTAAAGAGTAATGTATCCTTAACACTTTTCAATAATCTGACTTCTAGCACCAACAGAAAGCTGACGTGTTTTTCCAGAGATCTAATCCTCTATAGCATGGATTGCCATGTGATTTAGCATAAACAATCATCGTCTGTAAACTGTAATGACGTTGTTTAGCCCTTATCTTTTCATTGAGAAGAAATATTTAGATTAAATAAAAAGAAAAATGTGTAAAAAAAAAAAAAAAAATACTGGCAAAATAAAACGTATCCCAATAAATCTCAACTTTACTTTGTGAGAGCAAATTAGCCACTGTTAGCATGCTAGCCCACTAACCTTACAGTAAATGGTGAACATGATACATATTATAGTAGACTTGCTGTTTTTTGTCTGCCGAGTAGTCCATGTCAAAGTTATTTATCGATATGAGAGGAAGAGAAGATGCACATTTCCTCTGAGCACAGAGAAGATCCACCCACTCACTGCTGACCTGACTGATACATGGTTGGGTTGGATGGTCTGTGTTCACCAGAAAGCCAAACTAGTGTGGTGCAAAAAGATGTTCCTGACTTTGTATCAGCTCGAGGATATGTTTAGTCATGCTGATAGTAAGAGACCAGGAGCTAACAAGAGAAACAAAGGTGTGTTTGTAAAATGAAAAACACAGGGGGGCTTGCTTCTCTGTTTTTCTGCATTTTACAACTCAACCCCTTCATTTCAGCTTAGAAGAAGTGAGCAGTTTGCAAGATTAGACAATGCTAAATCCCTTTTCATCCTCGGTTGACTTTGTTTCCCTGAATCTCCTCTCTTCACTCTCTCCTCGTCTTTGCTGTCTTCTGTGATCAGCGTTAGAGTCTCCTCTCTGAGCCGATTACTGCTCTCATCCTCCTGTCACAGCACATTCCTGTCACATTTCCTTACAGTGCTTCCAATGCTCCCATGTATGCCCCCAAATTAAACCTGTGATATGTGAAAAAGTTTTAAAATCATATCTGGGTGAGAGCGCTGCAGCTAGATATTCATTGTAGAGCCTGTAGTTCAGCTCAAG